TATTGTGAGTGTTTGGGAGAGCCGGCGGTCTCTCGAAGAACCGACCAACTGTTAATGTTTCTGCTGAATGAATACTAGTTTCTTTTGTTGATGTTTGAGTGTGTGAATGCTGCTGTAAGTCTGTGAACTGCGTGTCAAATTTCTGGGTCATATCAGCTTACTCTATAATTCCTCCTTCCACACCAACCAAGGGCTGGCTCATTGGTGTGTTAGCTGGTTTGTTCCAGCATTGACGAGGAATCGAATCCCGCAACCAGCACTTTGGGGAAGAAGGGGGTCAAGGGGATGTTATTAATGGTGCATGGTACTGAATACCAAAAAAAATGCTACTCTGAATAAAATAGGCTATAATAAAAATTATAATGAACATCATAAGCTTACTTTATCATTAGTTGAATACCCTTAAACAAAATAGGCTATAAACAACTTATAATGAACAGTCAGCCAACCCTTTAGTCCCCTAAAACAAGAACACTATCTTTTTACAAAATGCCAACTGCATGCATAAATAACAACTTCAATCATTTTCATGCATATGGATATTTTCATCTCATTGGTGTACTTCTGAGTTCTGCATCATGGCTGATGGTTTTATGCAGTCAGTTTCTAACATAGTTGTAACTTTTTCAGGTGTTGAAAAATTGTCGATCAATGTCAAAATGTGGAGTACCCTTTCGGTCCATGGTTGCAACTGGTGGTTTTCGACAGAAAACCCAGTTGGAAAATCTAGAGCAAGATTTAGATGTTCTTATAGCAACACCTGGCCGTTTTATTTTCCTCCTTCAAGAAGGGTTCTTGCATTTGACAAACCTTAAGTGGTCAGGCATCTTACATTGCTTTTTTTTTTTATTAGTAACAAAAAAATTTATTAATGATGTGAAGTTTTGTGAAACTTTAGTTACAATAGGGGGAGGTAAAATGTCTTAACTCCCCACCAAAAGGATACAACGGAAGAAAGTTAAAAATTAGCCCAAAACAGAGACTCCCTATTCACCCCTTGCTTGGCCAGCCCATCTGCAAATGAGTTATCAGTCCTCTTCACCCAGCTGTATTGCATCTCAATGTCCCTACACAGCCAATTGAATTTTTTCTTTTCATTGTTATAGCTCCACAAACCACTGTCTTCTTCCTTTAGCCAACTAATCACCACCTTCGAGTCACCTTCCAGGACCAAATGTCTGATATTCAGTTCTCTTGCTCTTTAGATTCCTTCCAGAGCTGCAAGGATCGCAGCCCTAAGAGAGTCTCCTCCAATTGGGCCTGAGAACATAGCAGTAATATCCCTTCCTCATTCCTGAATACTCCCACAATCCTAGAAGACCCTGGATTCCTTAAGCTACTACCATCAAAATTCAGTTTTATAATGTTCTCAGGCATCTTACATTGCTTGACACGATGATCTTGTTTTTCTAGATTTAGGCACAGCCATATAAATTTTTTACTGACATCTCTTCTTTCTGTACTGTTAGTGCTATTCTAGATGAAGTAGATATACTCTTCAGTGATGAAGAATTTGAACAAGCACTGCAAAGCTTAATCAACTCTGCACCTTTGACAACACAATATCTTTTTGTGACTGCAACTTTACCAGTGGACATATATAACAAGCTAGTGGAAGTTTTTCCTGATTGTGAAGTGATTATGGGACCTGGCATGCACCGTACAAGCTCTGGCCTTGAAGAGGTTTGTTGGTTGAAATGTATCACTTCTCATGGTTTCTTACTGGTGTAGAAAACTGCTTCTTTAACAATGGAACTTATTTTAGTATGTGGTCTCTCCTAGCTTAGCCTCATGTATAACTTATGTTATCAACCAAGGCATCATGGCTCTAATGTATTTTTGGGTAAAGAATAGGTTAGAGTCCTAGTTATCTAATCATTTTTTGCTGAGAATATCATATAAGAACTATTTTGCCATAATTGTCCAACTGGTATTTGACCATGCTAAGCTTGCAGAAATATGGCAACTATCACTAATGAACAATAGTGTCTCTTCAAAGAGTGCTAATAAAGGCATTGTCCAATTGATCATGAATTTTCTATCTAGTTTATGTAAGTGCTTTGTTGATCACTTTTATGCTGACAGTGCACGACAAACTAAGCACGCTTGTCTTGGACAATCAGTTCTAAGCCCACATAAAACAGGAGGTTTATGTCAGATTGACACTTTGAAGCTGCTATAAAAACCTTTTAGCCAAACTACCTTGAAGAGGATGGGCCTTGGTGCAATGGTTGGGTTGCTCCACTGTGACCTGTGTACCAGGATTCAAATCTTGGAAACAGCCTCTCTGTTTATGCAGAGGTAAGGCTGCATATATCAGTTCCTCCAAGACCCTGCATTGGCAGGAACCTTGTGCACTGCAATGCCCTACCAAGATATGAACTTGTGTCATTTCAGACAACCTCTATTAATTATTAAATATATACCAATATCATGCGGTGTTTATTGCAATATAGACCTATACCAGATTTTTTTTCTTTTCATCTTGCAAGGCTAATCAACAATCATCTTGTAGTTGTAGGATGTACAGAACTTGGCAGCTTTATAGCCTTCTATATCTAATTTTGATTGCGCCTTGCTACACGTACAGGTTCTTGTAGATTGCAGTGGAGATGATGGAACAGAAAAAACACCAGAGACAGCATTCCTCAACAAGAAATCTGCTCTACTGCAGCTTGCAGAGGAAAGTCCAGTTCCTAAAACCATCGTCTTCTGTAACAAGGTTGGTTTTTCTATTATGTATCACAATCTCTCCTTGCCAAGGTTTTCTTTTTCAATTTTTGACCTTTGTTTGTAGATTGAGACATGCAGAAAAATTGAGAATGTATTAAGACGGTTCGATAGGAAAGGAGTTCGTATCAGAGTATTGCCATTCCATGCAGCCTTGGCACAAGAAGCACGCCTTGCAAATATTAAAGAGTTTTCCAATCCTTTTTCAGAAGTAGATTCTCTGTTCCTGATTTGCACTGATAGGTAATACAGTGGAGTTCCCAACTTCCCACTAATTATTATTTTTGGAACCTATTGGGAGGGCTTTCGGGACACAGCTTCTGGAGTTCCGAGCTGGACGTCACATGGGAACACCAGAAGCTGTGTTTGGTAAATATTTGGAAAGCTAGCATGGGCTTTCCGAATATTTACCAAACACGGGCTTTCCGAACACCTGAATCACTGCTTAAATATGAAGCTACCCTGAGTAGCTTCTCCGGAACACCGGTGCTCAACCACCACAGCTCAATTTACACGATGCACCTCAAATGCAAAAGCCCTCCCAAACGGGCTCCTAGCTTGCCAAAAAACGATCAGGGTGGTTATTTTTTTCATTTTGCATTAGTTATCCATGGGAAGCTGAAGATCTTGTAACTTATATGCAGAGCATCAAGGGGGATTGACTTTTCTGGTGTGGATCATGTTGTGCTCTTTGACTTCCCTCGAGATCCAAGTGAGTATGTACGTCGTGTCGGAAGAACTGCTAGGGGTGCTGGGGGGAAGGGAAAGGCATTTGTTTTTGTGGTTGGGAAACAGGTTTCCCTTGCACGAAGGATAATAGAAAGAAATATAAAGGGTCATCCATTACATGATGTTCCATCAGCATATGAATTGATGAGCTAGAAGTTGCATACCCAAATGCCTTGTTCTTCCTACTTGGTTTTAAAAGAAAAAACAGAAGTTGAATCTGCCATACACCAGGAGTGGGGGTGTCTAAAACCGCCCATCAGCACTGATACCAATTTTTGGGATTATCAAAGATCTGTATCAACTTTTGACAATTGAAATCCTTTGCTGTAAAGATGAAATGTTAGTCACATTTCCATATCATGTTTCATTTCAGTTTCAGCTAATAATCCAACATAGTGGAAAGGGGCATTCTGTTGACGTGAAGGGTACGCATAAAAGCAGAGGTTTATTCGTACCTAACAGTTCGTACAAGAATCAAACTTATACATCTTTCAGACCATCATGGATTTTGTAGGAAATCATAATGTAATGTTGCTAAACATATGAAAAAGTGAAACGGTGTAAATTGATTCTGAATCAGGATTTACACTTCATTTGCATCATTGTCAAACGCAGCCTAATATTCTATATTACTGACAATATTAACCTGCACTGCTGCACCCACATCCCAAAGAAAAAACGAAAGCTTGTCAAGATCAAATTTATAAGTCATGCTGAATCACTCCGTGATTAAACCCATGTTTTAGATGGTGACTAACGAAATAAATTTGGCTGATCCAAATGTTCAGTACACCCGGATACTGATCTAACATGTACGAGATGGGCACCAAGGTAAACTTGAATATTTGGTTCACTGCTACAAAGATGAATTTTCCTTGGGATTTTATTTTACCTGCATTGGTCAGCATGAAAATTCTGAAGCAGAAAGCGAGCATTATTCAGAAGAGTGATGACCTCCTCGTTTGAGGCATCCACCAACCTCAGATCCTTAATCTCCTCTTGCCATTTCTCAATTTGTTCTCTGTGAATTCTATAAATATATTTCCCGAAAAAAAAAGGATGAGAATCAAAGGCGGCAACCAAATGTTATTACTCGCTTCACTCCTGAAACAGTTGAAATTGTAATAGTGACGCTTAAACTTACGCGATCATCCGCTCTTCAAATTCATTACTGAGTTCCTTAAACATCGTCTTTCCCGCTTCCAGCAACTCTGTAACCTACACAAATTATTAATTATTAATTAAATAAAAATAAATTGACCGTTCTTTGGCCAAAAATCATTTACTTGCTCAGCAACCCACTGACCCGGTCAATCAAATCATCAATCCGTTCAATATGGACAACGGTTTTTTATCATTTTTTATTTTAATGTTTTATTTTTTAAAATTAAAATGGGCCACCCATTGTTAAACCGCTGACCCGGAAACCGGTGGCCAAAGCTATTCCGGTTCCGGGTCGGTCTTTAAAAATTGTTGACTGTTGAGTAGCGTGATGCTTTTTGATTTGCTCATGGAATTCGGATTAGCTTAGCACCCTAATCTCTCTGACCCGATGCGGCCTCCATTTGGTGGTTATCGATGGGACTGAGAGGCGGACAATACGATCCCAAAGCTTAACCAAAGCCGATCGGGCTCGTACATCATGGACATATTGGAGCGACAGCAATACATCGAAGGCCGTGATTCATTCACAGCTTTAGCCCAAGGCTACGCCAACGGCCGTAGCAGAATTTTCTTACGCGTACCTATACGGCTATACCTGTTCAGTGAAGCGTTCAATCCTTTCGAGAAGACGAGCAATATTGAGCTCCATTTCTTCAGATCCCGTCAAATTCGTCGTTGTCTCTTCTTCTATTGCAGCTGCATCTCCGTCTTTTTCCTCCACCTAAAACAATGAAAACAACGACCCTGATCTGACGAAACTTCCTGAAAAATTATGATACGACGACGACGATGAATGAAAACCTAGGAGAGGGAGAGAGAGAGAGAGACCGGTTTCATGCGCTTCCTCGCAGCTTCGATCTCTTCGCTTTTCTCCATAAGACTTCTATTCCTGCTTCTTAAGGTTCTGAAAAAAAAAAATGAAACAAAATAAACAAAACTAACGTTAATTTGTTATGAAGAAATTTTGACGAAATGATGAACCAACTTCTAGGCAGAACTTTCGAAATGGATCTCTCTACAGAAAAGAAGCGATGTCGATGCAAAGAAACAAGTCTAAACGATCATCTTAGAGCGAACAAACATCACAACAGATCGTAGAAACGGAACAAGGCTCCAATGTTTTACTTACAACTAGGATCACTCCAATCTGAAACACGAAAAACCTTAAGAGAAAAGAAATTAAAAGATTAGGGAAGCTTAGTGGGAGGGAGAGAGAGAGAGACAATAAGGTCGTCGATGCCGATAAGTACTCACCTGAAACGAAATCGCTTTGAAATGTAGAATCGTGGGCACTGGGCAGATAGAACGGGAAGAAAAGAGAACTGTAGAAAGCAGAAATGGAGGATTCGAACTGTGAGATCGATGGGTCATAAATAGCAATTCAAAATGCGCGCGAATACTGATAGTAATATTACTGAAATGCCCTCGTCTTACGTTGGAAGACAAATTTATACGCTATGTTTGGTTTGAAGGAAAACGTAGGAAAAAGAAAGGAAAGATAGGGAAACCTATACTTGTATCCTTGAGATGAGGATTAGATGTGACCCACAAATGGTTGATGGTGTCCTTTGCTAATAATTTTTTTGGGTAAAATACAAAAACCTCCCCTAAATTTTTAAATAAATTAACAAAAATCTCCCTTTTGTCAATCACCAAGACTAAGAATGCTAAACCAAAGAATCAAAATTTTCCAAATGCCTATTTTACCCTTTTGCATATTATTTTGCATCTATTTTTTATTAAAATACCTCTGTTGACCTCTTTACCCTCTTTTCTTATTTCCTTTCCCACTTTATCCAGTCTGAAGAGGAGAAATACAAGAGGAACGCAACAACGCAGCACAAGCCTCTTTATCCTCCTTTCCATTTTTGTTTTTTCTTTACAGAACCCTAGAGGAATGCAACACGCACCTCTTTATCCTCCTATCCATTTCTATATTTTCTTTGCCAATTTCTTCTTCCTCTTTTAACCTCCCATCTGTGAAACTCGATCGACACTCAAGAATACAAACCGCCATGCTGATAATCACATTTCTAATGTGCTTGTGGACCTTGGAATGCTTCTTTTTTGAACTCTTTTCCACTTTATCTGCCATGTGTGTAGAGTTTTTCTGTTGATTCTATATGAGTATGAGGCTCCTTTTTTATCCTTAATTCAGCTAGTTGTTGAATTCTTGTGAGACTGTAAGAACTTGCTATATTTTTATTTATTGTATTAATTCATTTCAACCTGTAGCATTTCATTACTTGAGAAGAGGCAATTCCAACTTTTCAATGCTTGGCCTTGAACCATCTACTTTTTTTATTCTCCCTTTGACGGGGGGTTTGTAGTATTGGTGGCTCTAACAAGTAACTTCTAAAATTCTGGCCTTCTAGGTGGTGAACAAAACCATCAATTAACAATAAAAAAATAAAGAACAAAACGTTATGACCATAACTCCTAATAGAAGTTGCTGCTCTAAACATCAGTTTTAACAATATATGCATGATGTGGATCAAAGCATAAAGAGAATAGTCTTCCTTAGTCGATCGGAAGTGTGATTATCAGCACTAATTAAAAAAAAAGTGTGATTACAAGCATTCCACTTTGCCATAGCTTCTTCTATCAATGTTTGCATCCATTTCCAATTGTATAAATCAAATTTAAAGGACATTACTTTGGAATGATACAAGTGGAATTATTTTTATTAAATGGAAATGTGTTAGCAGGCCAAAGACACTTTGGGGGGAAGGGGATTTAGAAACTTCTGAGTTCAGCCCCTCTTGAAAGTACTGACCTCTCTAAATAAGATGTGTATAAAAGAGCATACTGACTAAATAAAGCAAGTGGTGATGACTGATGCCCAATGCCTGTTATGTTGATAGTATCATTTGATTAATTGACTCTTATAGTTTCTCTTACTGTGTTTTCATTTTTTTTACAAGCAATGCAAATTCGAGTTGTTTAAAGGACCAAGCTCTCATTCTTTCTCATTCTTGCCCAAGATGAAATTCTAAAATGGAAAAGAATGGATAAAAATAGGCAGAATGAGAAAATATTGCTATGAACCAAACACTTTTTTCCTAAAAATGAATTCTTTTCAGACTCACAAGTGTCATATGTTGCTCATTTTCATTCTTCAAAAAAAAATGTGTTGGTATTCAAAAACCGCCAGCCTAGGTCTCTAATAGTCAATGTGTTAGACAGTTTTGTATGCCCTTAGCTCCAATCAGTTTGATGTACTTATGGCATTTATTGTAAATGAATAAAGTGCATATTTGATTCATGTCATGTGGTGTGTTTCTGTGTAATACCCTTAAAACCAGACACTTATGAGACTTGTGTTGGTTTAGAACGTTCACAGCCAGTGGGTCGGTCTGGGGAGATCTATCCTGATAAGGCTGACTGATGTGCTGCCAAGTCGGTTGGGGTGGCCTGTCTCTGCCACCAGGGTGAGACCCGAGGTACATGCATTGTGGGATCATCTTGAGACCTTGAACCGGACCAGAATTCCAGTATCGCCCTGGACCTTGGCGATTAGTGGGCAAAATTGGAATGTTACACCTGACCCCTAGACTCGATTATGGTACCACACTAGATGGCGGATTGGGCCATCTTTGATATGCCAATCAGTGAGATCCTTAGAGGGGGTCAAAACCTGGGTATGTTGAGATGGTTCATGAACCCATATGAGTGGGTA